TAAAGTATCTAGGCAAAAAGTTGAATTAAACAAAACATAAGGAGTAAATATGACATTGAATAAATAGCATTGACACAAAATAAAAAAATATCTATCGGATAGACAAAATTTCTGCATCGATTTGGGTAATTAAAAAAATTAATAAGGATCACATTGCGTACGTATCTACAACCACTGTGATAATGGAATTATGCATCAAACTAAGGATAGATTCTAAAAGATAATCTCAAATTGTATATATAATAAGGAGGTGATAAGGAGTCCAGATTTTTTGTATACACCAACGTTATAAACTACCATCGAGCGATATATAGAATAAGGTATCCACAAGTGTAAATATATTCGGTGCATCCCTGTGCGATATAATGGCTTATTTTGTCGTCTTCATTTATCATAAATATATTATTAAACCAAGGAATTCTATAAAATATATAAAATAAATTATGGTAATTCGAACTCCGAATTCCACAGAAGTATAGCTGGCTCACATGATGGAGAGGGTACCCGGTGCCATCAGCATCAAGTAGACCCACTTGAAAATCCACAGTTAATTTACCATCGATACGAAAAACTAGCAGCACTTACTTTTATTTTGTATTTGAAATAATTTAATAAAATTTGTAGTTTTGCAAGTTTGTGCACATTTGTATTCTTTATACTTTTTTCCAACACTAATATACAAAAGATATATATATATTCATTTTTTAGTGATATATGTTAAAAAGTAGTGCTAGGATTAATTGTGTTCAAGTGGCGCATGTAATTTTTACTACATGACGGTATTATATAGTTATGGCCGCTCGCCTCTCGCCGCTCGCCTATACTCCCCGCCCCCTGGACCAAGATCCTCGGTAAGTCAGGCTGCTTCTACAGCACTCTAAAACCTGGTTAAATTTTTTAAAATTTGATAAGCCCTCATGTTATAATAATTAGTACTAGTAGTTTTAAGTTACTTCATGTGTATGCTATCTAACCAAGGTATTTTGGAGATACACGAGAATTTCTGCAGGACCATGAAGGCGCGAATTTAATGGATGGGGAAGTAGTTTTGGCTTATCACAAACTTTGTTCTCCGGCTCAGGTGAGGCATATTTCGCATGTCATTGACAATATTTGCTGCTCTAATTCATCGATATAATGCCTCACTTCCCCCTTCCAGTTGTTCAGACCCCTCAGAGGCCCTCCGTGCGTCTACGCTTGGGCGGAGTTCTTCGAAAAATATTGAAGAAGGAGAAGTCTACGATAACTCAGAAGACGAAGAAGCTGTCGATGGTTTGTTGTAATAGGGATTTATCTTCTAGGATGTTTCGATAAGCTCCCAAAGAAGTTTTGTACAAGGAATCTCTCACCTAAACATGGGAATAATGTAAAGGGAAGTAAGAGTA